ATATCTTTACTCAATCAATTCACAATAATCAAAATGTTTTTATAATTCTTACTCTTAGATAGATCAATAGTGAAGTCAATTACTACATCTTATCAGATTCTATCAGAAATATTAAGTCATTTCAGTAGATCTTTTCTACAGTTCTTTTATAAGATAATGAAAGAACAGTGATTACAGTTTCAGACAAAGCATCTGATGCTGTTTAATATCTCAGATTAATAGAACTCTTAGAAGATCATTCTATACAGTTATTCACAGCCTGAATAATCAGTTATATACAAATCATGCATCTCTTGCATTATCTGAGTGTGTAAGAGTTCAGAGTGAGAGACTCAGCATCATTTATAAAATTATAGAGTCTTATTATTATTGATTGAACATTCTGAGATGTCAGTTGTTACATGTAATTCTGAGAAAAATCAGAGTACTTCTTGTTATACTGCTTCAGTAAGTGCTTGAAGAAGTTCATTGATTTGAGCTACTATATACTATAGCTCATCTAATATAGGTTCAGAAGAAGTTGAGCTATCAGTGACAGTTTTAATTGAAGAAGTATGTATAGTGCTTTAAGCTGTTGTATCTTGATTAACTAGTATCTTCAGATTCAAGAGCTGATACTCTCAGTTCATTCAGTGAGTATCTGTTATATCAGATAATATATCTTACTCTTATTAAGAGAGAACATCTGTCATTGAGTTCTGACTGTCAGAATGATAGTGTATTGTAAAATGAAAGCAGCTTAAGAACTCAGATCATTGTATCTATCATTCAGTGAGTTTACAGATAGTTGTGAAGTATTTGAGATTCTTTTAATCTATAACTATCTCAAATTCAGAGACACTTCAGAGTTCAGAGTCTCATTCTTCTAAATAGTATACAATTGCAAGAAGTTTCTTATCATAGATCTCATAATTGCATTCAGCAGAACTCAGATTATTAGACATGAAGATATATGATTATAGAACATCTTTATCATTATATTACAATATCACTTCTTCTATTATATAGTCAGAGAAATCAGCTTCAATAACTGTCTCATGATCAGAATTAAATATTATCAGTAGAGAAGTATTAATGAATATCTTCTTTATCTGTGTAAATACAGCTTCAGTATTCACTGATCATTGAAATACTGAGTCTTTCTTAGTGAGTTCTGTAAGTGATCTCACAATATCTGAGAAGTTTTATATAAATCACTGATAGAAGTTAGTAAATTCAATGAAGCTTTGTACATCTTTCACAGTGTGCAGGGTCTTTTATTCAAGAATAGCAGAGATCTTCTCAGAATTCATTTGAATTCTCTTATCAGCTTCTATGATGAAATCTAAGTATTTAATACTCTTTACTTTGAAATTACACCTGTCAATATCAATTGATAGTTCTGCTTCTTCTAGTCATTGTAATACTCTTTGTACATACTCTTGATATTTCTTTCTAAATTCATCAGTGAAGATGAGAATGTCATCTAGATAAGCAGATACAAATTCATTAAGAAAGTCTCAGAGTGCTCAGTTGATATACTTCTGAAATGTACTGAGAATATTGATCAGTTCAAAGAGTGTGACTACTTATTTAAAGAGACTATATCACATTTGAAATGTTGTAAGCTACTCATCTTCTTCAGTGATGCAGATCTTATGAAACACAGTGATGATATCTAACTTTATAAATCATTGAGCTTGTTCAATATGAGCTAGAGTTTCATTGATAAGAGATAAAGAATAACAGTCTTTTTTTTATTAATCTGTTCAATTCTTGATAATTCACACAGAACTGAAGTTCTTCATCTGATTTCTTTGCAAAGAGAATAGACACTGCAGTGAAAGAGTTACTAACATGTAAAAATTCTTTATTCAACAGATTATTGAGTGTGTTTCAAAGAAGAAGAAGTTCATCTTAGAATATATTATAAAGAGAGTCTTATAGTAGTTCAGAGTTCTTATCATTCTTTTTCTCTAACTTGATACTGTGATTGATTTCAGAATCTTGTAAGAAGAGTATATTTATAATATTATCTTATTAAAAGACATCTAGATATTCATGACATTATTGAGAGAGTTTTATATGAGAATCTGTTATTATAACACAGAATAACTTTTCTAGAGCCTTTTTAATATTGATCAGACTGATGAAATAGATTGTCACATGATTTTACTGTTGATGACTTCTTTTTCAGAGTATTTTATATGCATTGACAGAGATCTGTGTCAGATTCATAATCTTGTAAGTGTCATCTTCATGAATTCTATCATTATTAGAGAATATCAAGCTTCTATTTCAAGTGTTTAATAAGATGTCTTATTCAGATAGTCAGACAAGTTCTAACATAAGATTATAATCAAGATTATCAACTTCATATATATAGACATCTTCATATAGATGTTCTCTCATATCTATGATTAACTTTATTATGTAATGAGTATAAATATCTTTTGAATCATCAAATTCTGTAAGAAGTCAGAGTTTTGATAAGAGAATATGCTGAAGATTATAACATTTTATGACTGAAGATTTTATCATTACATAGTAGCATAGATCACTATCTATCATGACTTTCATATTATATATATTATCAATCACAGTAGATATAGAAATTATATTCATTATCATTTTCTCTTTAAATTGTTATCATCTGATCTCTTCAAGCTTCTGTTTATGAATTTGAACAGAAGCTAATCTTTTTCCTGTTTCATTAAGATATTCTTATAGTTATCTTCTGAATCTTTCTCTAATGTAACATGATTGATGTAGACAGACACTGATTCATTCTTTGAATAAAAAGACACTGATCTTTCTCTTAAGTGTAAAGATACATAGATTGATTAGCAGTTGAAAGCAATGTGTTTTGATCAGTTACAGTTAATGTACACTTCACATTGATATTAATCAGCAACTTCTTCAGAAGTGATCTCAGAGACTCAGAAGTCTATTCAGATAGCAGAGATTCTTACTTATATATAGACATTTAAGTCTACTCAGTTCATAGCATCTGTATCATTGTTGTTATTCTTCAGTGCAGATGTGTGAGTGACTGAGATATAATGTCTTCTATCACTGTTCTGTATACTCTTGAGCTTGATAAGATAATTATTCAATATCTGAAGCTGTTTGTAGAAGTCTTTATAAGTCTGATCTTCATCTACACTTATAAGAGTCTGTAAGAGTTCAAAAGTCAATGTCTTCTTAAGCATGCTAATCTTCATTCAATTCTGTCAAGATTAATCATCTGCTTCTAGAATCTTGATATTAAAGTCAGGAATAAATGTTGTAAAAGAAATGTTTCTCTGTCAGACACTCTGTAATTAATCTAATACTTTCTATTATATAGCAGTATCTTAAAACAGAATATCAAGATATTTGGTAATATTGTCAGATATTCACAATACTGATTCATATACTTTCATTTATAAATGAAACTTCTGTTTCATATGATTCTTCAATCATTCATTGATATATCAATCTTGATTAATTAATAAACTAATGATATCTTTATCTAGACTCAGTTTTATAAGCATTTCTATTCTTTATGATGAGTAGAGAGTGAGATTGAAAGTATTGAAATATATAAGAGTCTCTAAGCATTCTTTCAATACTTTTATATTCAATTCTGTAGATGTTGAAATTGCATGAGTTAATCATTAAATCTCTTTGTATTGAAGTTATTAAGTTGTATACATATCTGCTATCTATTGCTGTTATAATTTCAACATTGCTCAGAGTCACTGTGATATCATATCTATACTTACATTCAAGAGTTTTATATTATCATTAGACATGATTATATTGATTGTTGAATATATAAATATATAAATATCTCATATATCTGAGATGTCAGAACTCTCAGATCTTTTACTGATATTCTCTTTGTAAAATCTTACTCTCTTTATAAGATCTTGTTATAGAGTCAGAGTGACTGATGAGTAAGCTTCTATCTGAGAACTCAGTATCTGCTTTAACTGATTATTTCTCTTTCTTTACATATTGTTATGTGTTTGAATATCTCTCAATGAATAATCATTTCTAATGAGAAGATAATGTGTGAATAATCATTTCTAATAAGAAGATGATGAATATTTTTCTAGTGTAAGAAGTCTATATTGAATAGATCAGTATTATATTAATAGGTCTTATATAGTAAAGAGAAAAACATTAGAGAAGGAAAAGAAAGAGAAAGTGTGAGAATCAGCAATTGAAGTGAATATTTATACATGTATGTGATGGCATATGCAGTGAAGCTTCAGAGTGGAAGAATCTATACGCGTTCATGATGGCTGAGAATTGATGATTGAGAATGGCTGAGAATCGGAGCATACGCATTCAAGAATGAAGTGATTGAAATCTGTGAAGTGTAACAGAATAGTCTGTATGATTAATCAGACGCAGCCTGCCACAATCTCATTTGAAAAATGTAATAAGAGTAGACAGTAAGTCTCACTGAGACAGTATGAGACTACTATCTAATGTTAAAACTATGTAATAAAATCAGTTGAATTGATAATAAGACATTAAATATTCTGATTCTGGTTTCAGACACAGTCACACAGTCAGCCTAATAAGAACTTATATTAAATCTCACTTAAACTATATATAATTACTATTTAATATCAGTATTGTGTAATGAATTTAATTTATTTAAGAATAAAACTATTAAATGTTTTAATTTTAATTTCAGATACAATTACAGTTAGTCTAACTATTCAGTCTGCAGAGTCAGCTATTCAATCTTATATATGAATTCAAAGAAGTGTATGTAACATCACATAAAATAACATTTTTTTGCTGAAAAATGTTTGTTTTTCTCTAATAAATACAAAGATGTTTTGTGATGAGATGCACTATGCACCTGTTAATTAATAAGGTGGGTTTTTAATGTAGGCATATGTAATAAAGAAAGTCAGGGCGGTAAGTCAAGTGCATGAGATGTAGCGCTTCTATTGTCAAATGACTCCACTTTTAAAACAAGGAGCTCTGTTGCTAATTTGCGCACGAGTACCCAACCCTTAGAGGCCAAGCGCTTAATCGGAGATTTCAATGGACAAGTGAGATTAAAATAGAAGACAGACCTACTTATCGCTGTTTACGAAGGAACAAGGAAGAAGCCGCAAGTATAAATAGAGCTTCATTTCACTCGTAAATAGAGAGCAAGCAACGATCCAGGCAATTTTCTTTTCCTTCACATATTTTCTACGTCCCTTCCAACTGTCATATTCAATCAATTTGACATTGTTTTTAATCCAAACAACTCGCTCTAGTCCCAAACACGACCCTATTTCTACCACATAATATAAATACAAATGTCTCGACTATTTAGTGGATCTCTTCAAACTCTTGTCCGCTGGTCAGGATTCGACAAGTCCAAACTATCAGCAAAGTGGAAAACCGCAGTGGAAAATTTCACGAAGCCAGGAGGAGGGGCTGAGAATGTATGTCAAGATCTTGCCTAGTGCCCATGATATTCTAGTTGGTAAAAACTGGATCATTACTGTGCCGTAATTTAGATCGCTAATAAATTTGAGTTCCAGAGACTTGGCAAACTAAACAGTGTCAATATCAAGCATGTATACTTCAGGAATATTCATTGTATCTGACTGACTTGAAAGCAGACACCGGGATGACAATCCTGTCCACAAATCCCACTTCAATCGAGATGACAACGAATGGGTTATTAGTGCAGAGATCTCGGGTGCGAATGGCAGGAAGGTCTGCCATATTTATGAGGATGGGACTGGCACAACTAAAAAGGGGGAAGAGAGGCGTTAACTATTGAAAATCCCACTGGTGTCATGGTTTGGCAGGGGCTGTTACTGTTTGATCAATCTGTGGTTAGGAAATGAACTTGTGTTGTCGTTTTTCAAGTACGTTGGGATAAAAGTGCGCCTGAGAATCAATCATATCTCCCAAGAGGGAGCTGCCCACAAAATCCATTAAGCATCGTAACTGTGGTGTAGAAATTGTAGATAGGCGCCTGTCTATTCAACTCCGCTGACTCCACAAGTATATTATATATCGAATTCATCACGTGACCAACGTGCAAGGTTGATGGTGAGGTGGCCCAATTATTATTTAGAATTTAGTGGGTGATACGATACAATGGTTTAGCCGCCCAACGTCAAGAGGACAGAGTTAGTGTTTCAATTTGCTGGAACCCCCAGTTGCTCTCCGCTGTTGAGCAGTCATTGGACTATCATCACTTGCATAAATACATATGACTCTCTTCCTTAAATCCCGAGACAAGGAAAAAAGAACGAAAATGGCGCCATGATTGGTTAAGGCAAGATTCAGCTCTTATGCAGTTGCAAGTGAAAGTGAGACTGGAAAGTTGAAGGACAGCCCAACAGTCTTGAAAAGTGGCAGTGTTTGGTATCAGCGCTGAGACGCTGGGGCCGGGAAAGGACCTGGAGGCCTGTGAGAGAGCGCGGATGGAGGTAGATCACACAGATCCAGATGGGGAGGGTTTCGCATTGTTCTCTGCGAAAGGGGGAATACGCCTGAAAGGTTATAATGGATGCGGCAAGTACCATCGCCAGTGTGTCCAGGATCTATTTGTTGAATATTTGTTCACTGTCATTTTCAAAAGAGTGAGTCATGGCTCTCTAGATTCAAGCATAGCCAATGGCGGTGACAGGAGCCCATTCCCTGGTTAGCCAACCGAAGCCAGCGCAGCAAGAATGGAGCAGCACAGGGCTCGAATGGTATTGCAAGGAAGATGTTGGTTGTTGAGATCTTGGATTCTGCCTAGATTCTGCATTTTTCTTACAAACAGTCCGCCGTACAAACCCCAGGAGGTCGACCAGCACTTAGACTGACCGTGTGACCGTGTCTGGGACCAGGATCAAACTTTACAGTTGTCACATTGCCTAAAAGCATTACTCCTGGTCATGGTTTGTGTTCATCACATTGATCTCAAATCACATTATTTCAAATATTAAAGATTCCAGATTCACTTTTCAAATAAAAATCTAGTTCTGAATAAAGAATATATTTGAATTCTTAGTCATATTTTCATTCTGATCTTATTATTGAGAATGATATCAAATGAAATTATGAAATTACTTCTCACTTACATAATATTATAATATAGTGCTCATTTGTTGAAAATTCAATAGAGAGTGTTATCAAATATTATTACTTTTCTGAATACAGATCATAATTCATATAATTTTAATTATGAAAAAAACATAAAATATAAAAAAAAACAAAAAATAAAAAACAAAACAAATACAAGAAAAAATCATATTAAAAAAAAAAAAAAGAAAAGAAAAAGAAAAAAATAAAAAATAAAAATAAAAAAAATCAAGATTACAGAGCTGCAGTACTCTCAAAATACTTACTTCTCAGAGTCTTTATAATGTTTATTATCAACTGTGTATCTCTCACAGTGAGAGTAACACAGTCATAATAAGTCATTGTCTTAATATTATTTAATAAATAATCAGTATATATCTGTATAAATGTGAATAATTAGAAAATATACACTTAAAAAGTGTGATCAGAGTGAACTCTGCTATCACTTGAATAATATTAAGAATAGAATACTGAAATTGATAATTCCTCTCATCAATTTCACAGACAAGGTGTGTGAAGATAATCTTAGAGAATATAAGATTCTCTGACTTCTGATAAAAATAAATCTCACAGAGAGACTCTATTTTCATGATATCAGAGACTGAGTATTATCAAAAAGTATTACTTTTATACAATGTATATACACTTACTGCAGTAATTCACTCTCTGCATACATGACTGAGAGTTGCAGCTTTCTCATGCTACACAGCTCTTTCTGAGATGCTGCTGTCAGTTTATAACTCATGCAGTCTCTCAGTCTAGCATGCACTGCATGTATACAGCTCTACATGCTGAGACTGTGTTGATTATTATAGTCTGGTATAATACTCACTTTTCACAAGTCATGTTTTATTTGAGAGAAGGAGAGAAAGATACAACTATTGTTTTATTAAGAGAGAGATGAATAATTAGTATTATTAAATTAATTTAATTCATCTATATTTAAAATTTGATTAGTTTATACTCTTCAATTTGAGAATTTCTATAAGTGTTTTAATAGTTTTCATACCAGCTTGAACTTAGTAATGAATTGAAGAAGAAGAGAAAAGAGAGAAGAAAGAAATGAGAATAACTTATCTTTATAATATGAAAATAGAGAATCACTGTAATCATTCTTTCTAGCAACAAAGATCTGTTTTCTGTATGTATTTCTGATATAGATTATATGATAAATGTATATAAAGAATATCAATAGTGCATGTATTAAATGAAGATAATGTTGTTATATAACACTGTAGTTATTTCTATACATCTCTGAAAGCTGTTAATAGTTTCTTTATCTCTTTATATTTGATAAGTTAATAATATATTTCAATGCACTTTCTCTTTCATTATTATCATTATCATTATTATTATCATTATTATCATTATTATTATTATTATCATTATCATTATCATTATTATTACTATCATCATCATTATTATTATCATTATTATTATATTATTGCCTATCTTCACTCTCTCTCAATGCTTATTAAAATCAATTATGTCATTTCTCTTCAAATATTCTGCGGTTCTGCGAATCATCAAGGCACGTGAGCACTGTCACAGATTGAAGAGAGAGAAGAAGAAGATGTTCAAGTGCAGAGAGACAGATCATAAGACATATTATAATGCCTTGAAGAGACTCTGTAAGAGAGTAGAATAATAATAATTTTAAGTAATACTTCTGATAGATTTAGACTGAACTAAGTATAGAAATAATACAGATGACACTGCTTATGAGAGATTGAAAAAGAAGATAGTGAAGAGTCTTATACAGTAGTGATAAGATCAGAAGAAGTTCTGAGAATGATTTGAGGTCAAGATGAAGAGAGAGAGAAAGAAGAAGAGTGTTACTATAAATAAGTAATAACAGAAGAAGATTAAGAAGATATTGAAGTAGAAGATAAAGAAGTCAAAACTGATAAGTTTTTTATTAAGAGATAATGATTTTTGATAATACTTCTGTTCTCTAATTGATTAGCAGGAGCTGACAGAGAAGAAGAAGATTGAGGCCTTGTTCAGGTCTTGAATGTGCTTTATGATTCAGAATATTGAGAAGGCAGCTCTGCTCTCTGAGCATGTCAATCTGCTTATCACTGAGATGGAACCTGAGACAGTAGACTAGAAAATGCAGGATTTTGAGATGCAGGTTGATCTGGCTGAAAGAGAGCAGTGAGAACCCTTCTCTGAGAAGGCAGTGAAGAGAGATTTTGAGATGATTATCACCTCAGATAAGAAGAAGAAGAAGAAGAAGAAGAAGAAGAAGAAGAAGAATAAGAAGTGAATTATGAAGAATGATAAGAAGAATGAGAAAGAGAAGAAGTAAATTTTTTTCTTTTTATATTAGTTAGTTGTAAGTTTAAGTTTTTAATTATTAATAATTAAAATTGATTTTGAGTTTTCAAAAATTATTGTACAAGTTGTAATCAAGTCAGGAATAATATATATATATATATATATTTAATTATCATGATTCATAAATCACTATATTTAATGTATAAGTATCAACATTTTTTCAACATTGATATTCACAATATTAATATATTTTTAATAATATCATCTGATAATGCAATTTGATAATACTCTCTTTCATAATATTAATATATTTCAAGAAATATGACAGAGATTAATCAAGATTATTTATTTACTTTTATACATCAATGATATTCAATCTGAGTTAGTACTAAAATTATAACTAAGCTAAGAAACAAGATTATTTTCTCTTATATTAATTCTTCTTACACACATCAGTGATCAGTTATTGAAAATAAATTATTATCTTTCTTAAATTATTATCATGTCTTCTGAATTCACTTCTTTCACTTCTTTTACTTCTATTGAAGATTCACAAACTCTTCAAGAAATTACTGTGAATTACAAAGTCTACATTATTTACAATTCAACACAGAATGCTCTCTTTCAATTATAATAAATAATCACTTTATTCTTCATATCTGATTTCAGGTCATGAAATTTATAGAAAACTCAATATAAATATCAAGATGAACTATGAAATAATTATCAACAGATTGTATTACAGATTACTGAAGAGTCATCTCTTTATCACAATCACTGCAACTTCATTTAGAAACATTCATCATGAACTGATCATGACTCTGAAGAAATTTCCTGATATCTGAAGTTATCAGAATGCAGATAATAAAAGAAAAATAATCAGAAAATTACTACTGAGCTGATAAGTTACTCTATCAGATAATGATTTTTGATAACACTAACTTTCTAATTTAAAGAAAATCATGCAAAAATGACTCTGTATCAGTACTCTGATTTCACAACTCTTATCTGATAACTTCTGTGAATAATTACTTCATATGTATATATCTCTGAATCTTTCTCTTCAATCAATTGAAAATCCTGAATTCTGAACACTTCTTCAAATACTTAATTCAAATCTTTATATTTCATATTGATTCTGTCTTCAGTTCAACCTTGAGATATACTATAAAGTCAATATATAACATCTAGAATCAGAGTTAAAGAATCATTGAAGAGTGTCTCTCACAGTGAATGCATGAACTAGTATAAACAATCTTGTATTTATAAGAGTTACATGTTATTACATTGATGAGAACTGAACTTATTAAGAGACATTAATTAAATTTAAATCATTGATCAGTAGTCATACTGAGAATTATATAACAGAGATATTAATAACTGTAATTAAAAATGACTATTGAGATATTAGTCTCAGTCTTCTTACAATTACAACTGACAATGCTGTGAATAACTACACTATAATGAAGAGCTTGAAGTAAAAATTGACTTTGTATTTCTGAAATAATAAACAAGATCATATTCTCTGCATTGCTCATATGATTCAACTTGTAATATAAACACTGATAAAGAATCTTAATATTGAGATGAAGAATAATAAGATGACTGATTCTTGAAATGAGAATAAGATGAAAGTGATTACTCAAGTAACTTTTATATTCACTTTGTAAAAGATAATGTTTTTTAATAATACTTTTTAATATTACTTTTTGATATTGCTTTTTAATAATACTACTGTTAATTTTGAATAGATTGACTAATAATTTAAATATCATAGAT